AGAAACCCAACCTTTTTAGAACCCCAACCTGTTCGAATAACAAAAACAATGCTCTTAGAACATAAGCCCGATGTGTTACAACAAGACAGTCCCAGCCAGAAATGTTCTAAGAACATTTCGTGGAAGCCACAAAGGATTCCTAGAACGTTGTTTGGTAGGCCTAGAGGCACGCCGGGACGCCTCGCCACTGCTTGCTGCAAGGCTACCCCCCTCCCCAGCTGCCCCCCCCCACTGTACATCGCCACCAGCGAGCCCACGAACTTCACGATGGCGCCTCCGCGGCCCGCGGCTCCCCCAAAGCGCGCGCCGCCCCGCCGAGAGGCAGGAGAGGCCCACGAGGGTCGGCTCCCCCGCGCCGCCCCCGGCACAGCGCCGCCCCCCCCCCAGATGAAGCCAGGACGAGGCTAGAGTCCTGTTCCTCCTCCTCCTGCTCCTCCTCTCCTCCTCCTTCACCTCCTTCACCTCCTCCTCCTCCGCCCTCGCTTGGACGAAGCCAGCTCCCTTAGACGAAGCCAGTGAAGATAAACCGAGAATCTCTGAAATCCGGCGGCTCTGGAAGATGTCTCGGGCGCCGCGGCCTTCTCAGAGCGTTCCGGAACGCTCCGAACGCTCCGAGAGCGTTCCGGAACGCTCTGGAACGGATTTGTCCTTGTCCCAGGCCCGTCCGACTCTCCGAACTGGCCGGACCCCTACGATCCGACAGCGCGAAACATCTGCGGCACCCTGAAAAATCACGGCCAGAGCCCCAGCACCCCATCTGTCTGTGCCATCTGTCGAGCCAGATCGATCGGCTGTGCGGGTCCCGGGGCCCGAAGCTGGGCACCGACGCCCAGCTCGAGAAAGTTGGGGCACCAGGAGCCAAGATCTCAGTCAGGGACGCCCACGAAGGGCACGGCAGCCTTGGAGGGGCTCACGAGAGCCGCGTGGGGCGGAGAGGGGCGGAGAGGGGCGACAACCTCGACTACATGCAAGGATCACCCTGGGCAAGAGTGACCTTTGGTGCACGGCTTCAGGGGGCCGCGGGTAAAGTGGAGGCCACTCCGCAAGAAATCTCCCACAAGAAACCCAACCCTGAGACCCCAGGACGTCCATGGATCTGTGGTGTGGGAGCGCCACGCTCTCCATCGCAAAACCATCGAAACCCAAGAAACCCAGGGCGACGAGGAGGAGGAGGAGGAGGAGGAGGAGGGGAGGAGGAGGAGGAGAGGAGGAGGAGAGGAGGAGGAGGAGGAGAGGAGGAGGAGGAGGAGGAGGAGGAGGAGGAGGAGGAGGAGGAGGAGGAGGAGGAGGAGGAGGAGGAGGAGGAGGAGGGAGGAGGAGGAGGAGGAGGAGGAGGAGGAGGAGGAGGAGGGATGGAGGAGGAGGAGGAGGAGGAGGAGGAGGAGGAGGAGGGAGGAGAAGGAGGAGGAGGAGGAGGAGGGAGGAGGAGGAGGGCACCCTGGAGGCGAGCAGGGTGCCTCTTTGCACGGGCCTCCGCTGTAGGCCGAACAAGTCCGAGCGCGCAGGCCGGCGCTGGTGCGGGCCCCCCCTGTGAGAGTCCGCTCCAGAGGAGGTCACTCCGGCGAAAAGGGTCGCTCCTCTGCGCGGAGACGACAGCCCCGCCGAGGGATCCGGTGGCAACTCATGAGAAGGCCCCACCCACGGCGAGGACGTAAGACTCGGGTACGGGGGACGCGGGTTTGCCTGACGGGGTCCATCATAAAAAATGACGAGACGCAGTCTGAAATTTGACGCGAGCTCCCACTGCAGACGTCCCACGAGAACTGGACCGTCAGAATCCGCGACGCGCTCGTCAAAAAACGGCGGCAAGCCCGAGTTCCAGCTTACCCGAGTCTTACGTTCCCCCGACAGAGAGGTCACTCCGGCGAAAAGGGTTGCTCCTCTGCGCGGAGACGACAGCCCCCCCGAAGGATTCGGTGGCAACTCATGAAAAGGCCCCACGCACGGCGAAGAGCAGGAGTAAGAGGAAGCCAGGACGAGGATAACATCGGGGGCGGCTAAACATCAGGAGTCGAATCTCTGAGCTCCAGCGGCACTGGAGGATATTTCGGGCGCCGCGGCCGTTTCAGAGCGTTCCGGAACTCTTTGAAAGCGTTCCCGGACGCTCTGGAACGGAGTTTGGAGCCTCCCACACGATCTTGTCGGCTCTTGCGAACCGACGCTAATCGACGCTAATCGATGCTAATCGACGCTAATCGACGCGAAATCGACGCTGAACCGACGCTAAAGTGGCGCTGTCTCACCGACTCCCAAACGCGAATCGACACCCATCGACGCTAAAGACGGAATCAAGAGGGTACACCCGGCTCCCATGACCTGCTCGGCGGCGAGCGAGGGGGGGAAATGAGAAGGACAACGCCTTCTCAGAAGATCTGGAAGTGCCCCCGCCTTCTGAGAAGTTTTCTGAGGCTTCCTGGACGACAGAAAAATCTGAGGCTTCCTGGACGACAGAAAAAGTGGCCCTCCGAGAAGTTGTCTGAGCCTTCCCGGAAAACAAAAACATGATCAGAAGGCGCGAGGGCTTCTGAGAAGTCCCGCCGCTCGCCATCGCTCGGACGTCCATTACCTGTGTTTTTGTTTTCCGGTTTCGTGCATGTTTTTTTCGCCAAATGATCAAGGATGCTCCTCGATGGTTCTCGCCGAGAAAAAAAAGTATGCACACGTCCGAGCGATGCCAGGGCCGCCTTCTGAGACTCGGCCCCCTCCCCCGCCGCCGAGACTTGCTGCGCCGAAGGAGGGGGCCTTTCGCGGGCCGCCCCCCCCCCCTCCCGAGCGGGAGGCCGCGGCCCGCGCCGTGGGCCCCGCCGCGGCGGGGCCGACCCTCCGGGGGGCGAGGCGGCCCCCCGTCGCGGCGGGGCCGCCGCGCTGAGAGGTCCCGCCGCCTGCTGAGAAGGCCTTCCGCCTTCTCGCGCCCCCCCCCTTCTAGGGAGCCCACAGAGGACGTGCGCGCCCAGCTTATGTACATGGACACGGCCCTTCGATCCGCGACACTGGCCGCGTGCTGCGAACACTCGGGCAGCGCGTACTCTCTCGAAACCGGCGTGGATTCGTGTACGTGTACGTCCCTATTCATTTCGCTCCTGACCTTCGCTCGCCGCCGAGACCTGCTGCCGAGGGAGGGGGCCTGTCGCGGCATTGATAGTCATTGTGATGTCGACCGTGCACCTCTTGAGGTCGCTCTGACTCGATTTGTCGACGCCTGGCGCATGTCGCCCGCGCGTCGCAAGACCGCGGGCCGTTCGGAGGAGGGGGCCCATCGCGGGCCCCCCCCCCCCGACGAGGGGGAGGCCGAGGCCCGCGGCGGGCCCGCGGCGGGCCCCCCCCGAGGCGGCGGGGCCGCGGCCCGCCTCTCCGGGCGGCGGGGCGGCCCCCCGCGGCACGGGGGCCCCCCAGCGCGGCGGGGCCGCAGCGCCGCCAGGACGCTCGGGCCCCCCAGAGGACGCCTCGCCGCCGCAGGCAGAGGCAGGAGGAGGAGGAGGACGCTCGGCGCCGCACGGGCGCTCGGCGCCGCAAGGACGCAAGGAGGAGGAGGAGGAGGAGGAGGAGGAGGAGGAGGAGGAGGAGGAGGAGGAGGAGGAGGAGGAAGAGGAGGACGCAAAGACGGGGGCCGCGCTGGTCGGGACCCCCGCCGCGGCGGGGCCGCGGCGCCGCAACGACTGGGTCGGACATGTCCCCCTATAGGCGGATCTTGGACGAAAAATCCAAAGTTGACAAGGCAAAAAACACCCCAAGATGGTCAGAAAATAATCAGAAAATCGTCCCCATGCTATTTTTTGACAATTTTTGAATTTCCCCCCTGTAGAGGGACATGCCCGCCTTAACGCAAGGACGCTCGGGTCCCCCCACCTTCCCTGGTCTGCTCCGCAAGGATTCCCCGAGATCCTCCCAGACCTGGTGGACCCAAAGGGACGGCCAGCGACGAGGGGGTGGTGCAGTATAGATCTGGTGCAGTAGGTTTGTGGGGTTGCAGTCGACTTGGGGCGTGCAGAACACTCCAGCGCTAGTTGCAATACAATGAAATGCAACTCTCTGGCGCAATGCATTTGCGATACAATTGCCCCAACCCTATTGCACCACACCCTCTCAGCTGGGCCCCCTTTTGGGTCAACCACCACCACCACCACAGAGCCAAGCATCTGGAAGGACGAGTCGGCAGAGGAGCGCGCGATTGGCAACCCTTCGTGACTTGTAAAATCCTTCGTGATTGGCAACCTTCTTTGAAGGAGCGCCTCACGACTGTGAAGCAGGAAAACGAGCGCCCGACTGTGAAGCAGAAAGTTTAGCGCCACGCCGCCGGTGAGCGTTTTCTTATTCGGCGTTTCGACATTGGGCGGAAGAGGAGGGGGGGGGTCTGGCTCCGGACCTCTGCTTAGTGCGACTGCTTACAAGAGTGCGGCCTCTGGGGCAGACTCCACCCGCTCGAAACAGGAGACCCCAAAACAGCTAAGATCTACTCCATGGGAGGGGGGAGGGAGGGTTTTGCTGCCCGCGCCGATCGGCAAAACAAGGAATACAAAAACGATCACCCGTTCAAATCCAGGGGTCCTGTCCGGCGGTCTCTGCCTGCACAGCGGCAGCTCTGGGAGGCGCCCCCCGGACCCGCCGAGCATGGTCTGCGTCGTGAACTGCGTCAGCGACGACAGGGCGGCGGAGTCGTTGATGAGCCGGCTGGACAGCTCACCTCTGGCCCGCGCAGCAGCCCGGAGGGAAGTCGCAGCGCGAGAAGCAGGAGCGGCAGGTCGACTTCGAGAAGGGCGGAAGTGAGTGATTCAGTGTGTGTGGGGGGGGGCGGGGGGGGGAAGAGGACAGGGGGGCGATGGGACATGGGACAGTGGGCACGCCCCAACAGGCGCGTGACTCCCAGAACCTCGCATTGGATCACGGTGATGTCCTCTGGCGATGGAAGTCGGCCTCCAAAGAACGTGTCTGCAATCCGCTGCAGTGACGCTTGACATGCTGGAATGGAGGACCGACGCCTGAGAAGCATCAACATTTCAGTCGAGACTGTGAGCCAGCAGGAAGGCATCCAAAACGCACGAATGACATGCGTACATCTGTGCAGGACGGCTCGAGGACCCGCAGACCAGCGCAGCCTGCACCGGCGTCCTCGATGGTAGTTGCCTCACCCTAGGTAGCGCAGGGTCCTCTTTCCGCTCGCGGCCTGGCCCCTACAATGCCCACTAAAATCCCTACATACACCCTGGCGGGCTGCAACTGTCCTTACGAGGCAAGGGAAGATGAAACGGCGGAACACATTGGCATTATCCACAGTAGCCTTTTGCCGCAAGCCAGGACAAGATGACCGGTGCCTGTGCTGCCTCCTCACTAGACATGTTGCTAGAGGGCCACAAGACGGCCCCAGAGGCCCAATAGTCCTCGAGAGGCCCCAGGAAAGCCCCAAGAGGCCCCAAAAAGGTCTCTCAGAGACCCCTACGAGACCCCCAAGAAGCTCCCAGGAGGCCCCAAGGGAGACCCAACAGGCCTCCTTGTCTACACCCTCCTCCTCCAACTCCTCCTCGTCCTCCTCGTCCTCCTCCTCCTCCTCCTCCTCCTCCTCCTCCTCCTCCTCCTCCTCCTCCTCCTCCTCCTCCCTCCTCCTCCTCATCATCATCATCATCATCATCATCATCATCATCTCATCATCATCATCATCATCAGCAGCAGCAGCAGCAGCAGCAGCAGAAGCAGCAGCAGCAGCATCATCATCATCATCATCATCATCATCATCACCACCACCACCACCACCACCATCATCATCATCATCATCATCATCGTCATCATCATCATCATCATCATCATCATCATCATCATCATCATCATCGTCAGCATCGTCATCATCATCATCGTCATCAGCAGCAGCAGCACCATCATCATCAGCATCATAATAATCAGCATCATCCGCATCAACATCATGATCAGCAGTATCAGCATCATCATCAGCAGCATCAGCATCAGCATCAGCATCAGCATCATTATCATCATCAGCATAATTAACAACACCAACAACAACATCATCACCAACAACAACATCATCATCACCATCCTCATCATCATCATCATCATCGTCACCATCAGTACCGTCATCATCATCATCCTTGTCGTCGTCACCGTCATCATCATCATCATCATCAGCAGCAGCAACAACATCATTATCACCATCCTCCTCCTCATCATCATCATCATCAGCATCATCAGCATCATCATCATCATCATCATCATCATCATTAGCATCATCATCAGTATCATCATCATCATCCTCATCATCATCGTCGTCATCATCATTACCGTCATCATCATCATCCTTGTCGTCGTCACCGTCGCCGTCACTATCCTCATCATCATCATCATCAGCAGCAGCAGCAGTATCATCCTGTCCTCCTCCCTCTCATCCTCCTCCTCCTCCTCATCCTCCTCCTCCTCCTCCTCCTCCTCCTCCTCCTCCTCCTCCTCCCCGTCTTCCCCCTCCTCCTCCTCCGCCTCCGTCTTTCCCTCTCTCTCTCTCTTTCTCTATTTCTCTCTCTCTCTCGTTCTCGTTTTTTTGTTTCTCTCTCTCTCTCTCTCTCTCTCTCTGTTTGCATCCCTAAAGTGTTCCCGTAGGGGGTTCCACGACGGTTGGGGCAACACATAGTCCAATACCTTGGGCTACAATGTGTGGCCACACAGGCGCTTCCAAAGGCAGGAAACGGCGGTGATTCGCCGGAGACGTCTTGGATTGAGACGGCGGCAACCGAGAAGCTTCAATCCGAACTCCAGAGGCTATGAGGCGAAGGCTGCGCATGCCCGACCTGGGGACCCGATTTGGGACAGGGACTCGCCGAGGCTTCAGGACCCCCACTGGGTCTGCGACCTTTCTCGTCTCTCGGTGTGGCTCTGACATGTCCCCCCCCCTTGTCACTGTCGTTGCCTACTGCAGGAGTTGTCGCTCGAGCCTCACACTGAGATTGAATCCAGTGTCAATGCGCATCCCGTCGAACTCAGTAGTGCACGACTGCGGCAAATCAAAGGAAGCAACAGTGCCCTCCAAGGACCGCTCACGTGCGAGTCGTAGAACGCGATCTCTTGCTCGGTCAAATTCCTTTCCGGAGCTCCCTGCTTCATTCTACTGGCCACGCCCTGAATGTCGTTGCCTGTTTCTCTATCCCTCTCCCTCTTTCTATGTCGCTGTCTAACTATGCATGCTTTATCTTCTATGTGTATACATTATGCACAATAACAGTATGAATGCCGTGTATATGTTCAAAATGGATGTGTGTCTGTGCATATACATCGATGTCTACGTATACCTGCCACCGTGTCTCGAGGCACGAGATGTGGAGTGTTCCTCAGGTTTGAAATATTCACTGAGGAGCAAGAACCCATTATCTCAATTCTGCCCGGCGCTTCCCCGCTTTCTCGGGCTTCCCCGCATGACTTGTTAAGAGACTAGAGGGCCCCAAGACGAGCCAAGAGGGCCCCAGGAAACGCCCAAGGGGGAGCAAGAGGCCTCGAACACACCCCGACAGCGCTCCAAGACGCCCAAGATGGCCCACAGACGGTCCAAGAGGCCCCCAAAACGCTCCAAGAGGGCTCCAATATGCTCCTGAAGAGTGCCCCGAGATACCAGCATCATCAACTTTCCTTAGGTGTTTGACGGATCTCAGTGTTCTCGCCTTTTCCGGCTTTCGACGTTCCAAGACTACCCAAAAGGCTCCCCAATATCGCCCCAAGACGGCCCAAGAGGCCCCCATAGCGCCCCCAGACTGCCCAAGATGGCTCCAAGAGGCCTCCAAGACAGCCCAATAAAGCTCCAAGAGGAGCCCAAAAGAGGCCTCAGAGGGGGAACACGAAGCGACATTTCGAGCCCTTCGCCCCAAGATGGACTCCAAGATCGCCAGCAGGCCTCCAAGACCCCTCACAAGCTCCACGAGGCCCCGAAGAGACCCCATCAGGCCTCAAGAGGCCTCCAAGAGATCCCCGAAAGGCTCCCAAAACACCCCAACACTACCTCCGAGAGGCTTTCGAGAGGTCCCCCAAGAAATCCCCAACGACATCCCAGAACCTTCTGACCTACAACCCAGGCACGGTGGCGGGGTGGGCCGAAGGCCACTAGATCCGCCGCCCCCTGTTGGCTTGCCAAAGGGGTGCCTGGCGTGCCAGAATTCAAGAGGTTCTTGGTTCTTTGAGAGCCCCCCGTGGGGTGTCGGCCCAGCACGCCGGCCACCAGAACAATGTACATGTCAATGCATTTCTCGCCCAAGATGCCTCCCCGACGGCCAAGGTGGCCCACGATGGATTCCAAGATGCCTCCAAGATGGTCAAGATGAACCCAAGATGCACCCAAGACGGCCAAAGATGGTCTCAAGATGGCCAACGACGACCCAAAAGATCCGCAAGAGGCCCCCAAGAGGCAAGACGGCCCAAGAGGCCCCCAAGAGGGGCTCCAGGAAGGCCCGAAGAGGCCAAAATCATTGATCGTCTGCACTTGTTCATGGACTTTAGCATTGGTTCACAACTATCCTGTGATGTTGGGTCCTCGTTTTGAAGAGACAGCGCCCCGCGTCCCTCCTATCTTCCTCCTACACCTCCTCCTCCCCCTACTCCCCCCTCCTTAGCGCCCAGTACAGCGTTTCGTGGCCCCAGAGGGGGCCCCAACGACGGTCCCAGTGGTGCAGTCCGCTTGCGGTTCCCCCACCCAGAGAAGTGCTTCGTGGCCCCATAGGGAGCTCCACCGAAGGTCCCAGTGGCGCAGTCCGCACGCGGTTCCCCCACCCAGTACAGCGCTTCGTGGCTCCATAGGGAGCTGCACCGAAGGTCCCAGTGGCGCAGTCCGCATGCGTCTTCCCCACCCAGTACAGCGTTTCGTGGCCCCAAAGGGAGCTCCGAAAGGTCCCAGTGGCGCAGTCCGCATGAAGTTCCCCCGCCAAGTACAGCGCTTCATGGCCCCATAAAGAGCTCCACCTGAGGTCCCAGTGGCGCAGTCTGCATGCGGTTCTCCCACCCAATGCAACGTTTCGAGACCCCAGAGGGAGCTCCACCGAAGTTTCCAATGACGCAGTCCGCATGCGGTTCCCCCACCCAGTACAACGCTTCGTGGCTCCATAGGAAGCTCCACCGAAGGTCCCAATGGCGCAGTCCGCACGCGGTTCCCCCACTCAGAACAGCGCTTCGTGGCCCCATAAGGAGCTCCACCGAAGGTCCCAGTGGCGCAGTCCGCACGCGGTTCCCCCACCCAGTACACTACGTGGCCGCAAGAGAGAGCTGCACCGAAGGTCCCAGTGGCAGAGTCCGCATACGGTTCCCCCATCTAGTACAGCGTTTCGTGGCCCCATAAGGAGCTCCACCGAAGGTCCCAGTGGCGCAGTCCGCATGCGGTTCCCCCCACCCAGTACATTACGTGGCCGCAAGAGGGAGCTCCACCGAAGGTCCCAGTGGCACAGCCCGCATGCGGTTCCCCCACCTAGTACAGCGTTTCGTGGCCAGAGGGAGCTCCACCGAAGGTCTCAGAGGCGGAACTCACATGCGGTTCCCCCGCCCGATACAGCGCATCGTGGCCCCATAAGGAGCTCCACTAACGGTACCAGTGGCGCAGTCCGCATGCGGTTCCCCCACCCAGTACAGCGCTTCGTGGCATCATACGGAGCTCCACCGAAGTTTCCAATGGCGGAACTCGCATGCGGTTCCCCCACTCACTACAGCGTTTCGTGGCCCCATAGGGAGCTCCTCCGAAGGTTCCAGAGGCGCAGTCCGCATGCGTCTTCCCCGCCCAGTACAGCGTTTCGTGGCCCCAGAAGGAAATCCACGGAAACGGATACCCACAACTGCGGTACTCACAACTGCATATGGTTAGGTTCCTCGCCAAGCCAATGTGTGTTCGGCCTTCCGACTGCCCGAGACGGCCCAAGAGCCCCCAAAGATCACAAAGATCATCCCAAGATCGCCCAAGAGGCCTCCAAGACGGCCCCAGAACGGACCCAAAGGCCCCACAGACGGCCCCAAGAGGGTCCGAATACGGTCCAAGAGGCCTCCAATACGCCCAAGATAGCCCCCAAGACGGCCCTGGAGCACCCCGAGAGGGCCCCAAATCGGCCCAAAGAGGCCCACAAGACGGCTTCCGACGGCATCAGACGGATCAGGAACGCCCTCAGACGGGCAAAGAGGCCCCCGAGAAGCCCCCCAAAGCTCCCAAGAGGCACAAGGAGGCCCCCAAGATGCCGCCAAGAGGCTCCCAGGAAGCTCCCAGGAGGCTCCAACAGTGCCCCCAGAGGATGCCACCTCCTCCTCCTCCTCCTCCTCCTCCTCCTCCTCCTCATCATCATCCTTCTCCTCCTCCTCCTCATCCCCCTCCTCCTCCTCCTCCGCCTCCTCCTCCTGATCTTCCCCGCCATCCTCCCGCAAATGTTCCTCGAATGGTTTCCACACCGGCTGGGGAAACACATGATCTGATAGCCTGGCAGAGATCTTGCCACAACGTTCGGCCACATGGGCGGTTCCAAACCGCAGGGGGCGGCGGCGATTCGCCGTAGGTGTCTTCGATATACATGGTTATCGCTCTCCTTCTCTCTCTCTCTCGCGCTCTCTCCATCCCTCTTCCTACATGCTGTTTGCACTGCTGGGCGCCAGCCTGGGTATCCACCGTGTGCCTGCGCGCGCGCGTGCTGTCATGTCCAAACAGTCCAGCATCGACCTCCACAACCCTTCAGGACGACCTGCAACGTGTTGTTTTATGAAGGGCGACGCCACGAACCAAGAAACACTTATCCAGGCGAAGGACCCAACCATACAAAGTTGTGAGTGCCGCATTGTGAGCAAAACTTTCGATGGAGCTCCCTATGGCGCCACGAATTTTGTGAGCGGAGTACCAGCGGGGAACCGCATGTGGACTTTGCCACTGGGGCCTTCGGTGGAGCTTCCTATGGGGTCGCGAAACGTGTGAGGGGTGTGCCCAAATGGGTGGGGAACCGCATGCGTACTTTGCCACTGGGACCTTCGGTGGATCTAAGGGGCCACGAAACGTGTGAGGGGTGTGCCCACATGGGCAGGGAAACGCATGTGAATTTTACCACTGGGACCTTCGGTGTAGTTGTGGGGCCACGAAACGTGTGAGGGGTGTGAAGAAATTGGCGGGGAACCGCACGTGAACTTTGCCACTGAGTCCTTCGGTGGAGCTCGGCCACGAAACGTGTGCGGGGTGTACCGACATGGGCGGGGAACCGCATGTGGACTTTGCCACTGGGATCTTCGGTGGAGCTCCCCATGGGGCCACGAACGTGTCAGAGGTGTACCGAAATTGGCAGGGAACCGCATGTGGGCTGTCTGCCACTGGGACCTTCGGTGGAGCTCCCTATGGGGTCGCGAGACGTGTGAGGGATGTGCCGAATTTTGCGGTAACCGCACGCGAACTTTGCCACTGAACCCTTCGGTGGAACTATGGGGCCGCGAAACGTATGAGGGGTGTGCCGAAATGGGCGGGGAACCGCATGTGGACTTTGCTACTGGGACCTTCTGTGGAGCTTCCTATGGAGCCACGGAACGTGTGAGGGGTGTGCCGAGTCAGTGACACGCGCAGGGGCAAAGCAGGGATGGGATGCGAGGACGAGGGGGATGAAGGAAGACGGCCGGGCGCCGTTTCTTCAAAGCGAGGGCCCAACTCCGCAAGATGGCTGGGACGAACGACCTGCTATGGACTCAGGAATAGGGGAACGAATAATGGCATAAACATACAAACTCGGAGGTCCGCGCCTGTTTATCGGATCCGCGCCGGACCCCCCTCCCTGGCGCGCGGAGCGCGCCAAGGGCGGCGCCGGAGGCGCCGCCAGGGGGCCCCTGCGCCGATCCGAGACATCCGCGCGGCCCTCTGAGTTTTTATGTTTATGTCATTGCTCGCTTGGACGGTTTCCCCCGGGGCCGTAGGCGACCCGAGGAGGGGAGAGCGAGGAGGGCGAGGAGGGGGAGGAGGAGGAGGAGGAGGAGGAGGAGGAGGAGGAGGAGGAGGCGGAGGAGGAGGAAGAGGACGAGGAGGAGGAGGAGGAGGAGGACGAGGAGGAGGCGGAGGAGGAGGAGGGAGGTGGAGGAGGAGGAGGAGGAGGAGGAGGACGGATCGCCGAAGCCCTTCGGAGAAACCCTCCATGCTCGCTTCCCTGAGGAAAGAAATCCCCCCCCTGGCCGTCCCAGCACGAGTGGCGTGCGGCTGTGAGGGCCCCCCCGCGCCCAGCAGGCCTCGGGCGCGTCTTCCTGGGGACCACGGGCGCGCCTTCTCCCGGGGGCCAGGGATCGACCACGGTCCCCCCTCTTTGCGCACCGCCGACGGAGGTACAGTCGGGGCGTTGACCCAAGGAACCCTCAATGAGGACCGAGGCCCCTGCTTTCCATAAGTTGAAACTTCGATGCCCCATCGAAAACCGAGGGAAAACCTGAGGCAATATGTGAAACAATCAAGGAACACGGAGCCCCTCCCCAACGAAAAGGGGCCCTTCTTCAGGACCCCGACTGTATCCATGCTACCGAGGGCTCCTGCTGCTGCATCGTTTCTCTTGCCTTGGCGCAGCGTGCTACCCCGACGCCGAAAGGGACATGGCTTCCCTCGGAAACCTGCCGAGGGGGGGGGGCGCTGGCCGGCTGCAGGCAGGTCTGGCCGAAGGCGAGCGGATGGGGAAGGCAAGAGAGAACGTGCAAAAAGGTCAGATTTGGACGAGTCAGCGCGCAAGAGAGAGAGAGAGAGGAGAGAGAGAGAGAGAGAGAGAGAAAAAAAAAAAAGAGGGAGAGAGACAGAGAGAAACAGAGACACAGACAGAGAGAGAGAGAGAGACAGACAGACAGAGACAGAGACAGACAGAGACAGAGACAGACAGACAGAGAGACAAGGAATGCGTCGCCCAGAAAGTGGCGGCAATGCCAACACACAGTGGGTGCATGTCACGACGTTGCACTTGGGAGATCTTTTCGGAGCCTCTTGGAGGTAGGCTTCGATCTCTTGGGACATATTTGGGGGCCCTTTGGGCGCCTGGGGGCCTCTGGCTCTTCGCTCCCTCGCGTGCCCGTCGTGACCTCACAACCGCCAGAGAACCCTGAAACCGAAAGAAGCACGCACAGATCATGCCAGCTGTGAATATTATCATTGCGTTTATGGACTAAGGTTTCGCCCGCTGAGTGGATGCTCGAATCTTGCAGTAAGCCCCAGCTTCGAATACTCAGCCACTGCCACATCCGATATGTGTTGTTCAACGAGTGGCGGAACAAACTCTTGACTTCTTCATGATGAATATGCTAACGTGTCTGCCAGCAGCAAGAAGACTGCCAGGCTCTATTGGCAGCCTCTCGGGCCTGAGATCCGCTTGGCAACCTCTAGGATCACACAGCCAGACCCTCGCCTCGGCATGCTACTTGCAGACAGTACCTCGACTAATCGGTCTGAGTCGAACGAACCACCTCTAAGCCAGAATATCGCTTGCAACGGAAGGCAACTGCTGCTGGAATCTCGGAACGGCCTCAAGTGCAATCTCAAATCAGCTTGGACTCCGCGACGGGCCTGGGGGGCCCCGCAAGCCCCATCCATCCACAGAGATCCCAATCTCCAAACTAGCCATCCGACACTGTGGAAGCTCACCCCCCGATTCCTAACAAAAACATGCAGTAGGAGCCGGACCACAAGAAACCTTCCACAAGAGACCCTGAGACCCCAGGACGTCCAATGATCGTTTGGCGTGGGAGCGTTACGCTTTCCATGGCAAAACCATCGAAACCCAAGAAACCCAGGGTGTTTTTCTTGGCATGGGTCTCCACTGTACATCCGAACGCGCCAGCCCTCGGCCATGCGGCGACTCGCCCTGGAGCCCAACGTAGACGCCCCGCCACGGCTCCTGAACAGCTTGATGCGCAGCCGCGTCACGGTGGTGTGGCCGCACACCGCGAACAAGATCCCGACCACAATCTCGCAGAGGTAACTCCTCTCGAGCGCGCGCGCCAGCATGCGCCGAAGGGGGATGGGCCGACGCACGCGGTGGGCGGAAGAGCCGGGCACGCCGGCGCTGGCCAAAAACGCCGCGAACCATTGAGCAGGGACCGACCGTCCCGGCATTTCTACAGGCCTACCACGAAATGTCTTTAGAACCCACAGATGTTCTAAGAACACAACAACTTTCTGAGAACCTACTCCCGATGTGCTAAAACGAGACAGCCCCAGCCAGAACTGTTCTAAGAACACTTCGTGCAGACCACAAAAGGTTCTTAGAACATTCTTTGGTGCGCCTATGGGCGAGCCAGGACGCTTCGCCACTGCTTGAAACCACGTGCGCACGCGCTGCGGCAGTGCAGCGCCCCGCTGGCGCCGCAGCAGCGCTGCTGCAGTGCTGCGAGGTGCAGCGCCTCTGCGCCCGGCAGATGTCGGAGCTGGCTGCTTGGTGGGTGAAGGGTGCGGGGGGAGCAGGATCCTGCTGTTAGGTCGGGCATGTCCCCCTACAGGCGGATTTTGGGCGAACAATATATGTATATATATATATATATATATAACTATGTATTCCCTTGTAAAATCTTAAAAAAAGAGGTTCCCATACGAATTTTATACTATTCTTGAAAATCCCTCCTGTAGAGGGGCACGCCCGACTTAATCCTGGTGTGGCCTGCCCCGGCCGATGTCGGAGCTGGCTCACTGCTGCGTGGGGGGGGGGGAAGTAGGATCCTGGCGGCCCGCCCCGCCTGCCCCCGAGGTGCTGGAAGGACAGGGGGGGGGGGGGGGGGGGGCTTCGACGCAAACTCCGGGACATACGGTAGAGGGAAACAGTCACTGAACACCCCCCCGCCCCCCCCCCCAGACCCAAAGTAGTTGGCACGCGCGGGGGAGACTGCGGTCGAGGTGTCACTCGTCAGACCCACCGCCCACTTCAGACGTTGGGGGCAGGGGGAGGCGTTGACGGATGAATGTGGCAAGAGTGTTCGCTGTTTTTCTCCGAGGCCTGTAATTAGGTTCCGAAGGGCACATGGCATGCATTGACCGTCAGCTGTCGGCCCATCTCCAACCCACCCTTCAGAAACAATCCAGAACAAACTCGGCGGCTCTGGACGGGAAGAGTGGGAGCCTCCTCCTCCTCCTCCTCCTCCTCCTCCTACGGTCTCCTTCCCTTCCTTCCCGTGCCGCCATCTGCGCTCAACTTCTTCCTGCCCCTCGCCCGTGCCCCTCCTCCTCACAGGGTCAACCACATGCGACACCAACCCCTGCAGGTCGGACTTCTGAAACGCCAGCTGGGGCTCAGGTCTCAAAGGATGTCTGCAGCCAGCTGAAACCCAGCGGTGATGTCCGATAGCTCGACGTCGATTGGACCCGCAGGGCCAGGGTTCGTAGCTGGTCGCAGCTTCCAGACCCTGCCGCCCCTTCCCCCCCGCAAGGTGACGCACGGGGTGCGAAAACCGAGTGCGGAGAAATTCGTTTCTCGTTTTGTTCGGCGAGAGAACCCAAGTTATCCGGTGGGATGGGTGGGGGGAGGGAGGTGGCGGCCGATGACCAAACCTTTTCGATTTGGGCAGCCCCACGAATGATGCCCACGCGCACACATACTGCCAACCCACATGATAAGGATGGGCAACCTTCCCAAGGGTACTCTTGCGTCCTTGCCCGTCGTCCACTTCCGCTGGCCGCGCCCCGCTCGAGAAGCCACGAAATGGCCCTCCAACGCACTTGCATCCTCATCGTGCGTCCTTCTGATACGAGTTGACTGTACTGCACCAGTGATTTGTTTTGCCGGTCTCTCATTGCTGACCGGCGCTGTCCTTGCGTAACACACTCGCATGGACACTTGCATGAATTATCCCATGAATTCTGGCCGGATTCCGCATGGATTCTTCCGTCTTTTCCAGCGCCCCGACCCCATGCGATTTTACATTGCTTTGCCGTGGGAAAAGTCAATACAGAATCCACACAAGAATCCACACCAGTTGTTGCTGTCATGTTCTATGGCTCGCGCCGCAGAATCCATGCGCAAAAAAAAGCAATTGGATTGCAAATGTATTGCGCCCGAGAATTGTATTGCATTGCATTACAAGTAACGCATTGCACGCGAAAATCCAGCAACGCATTTGCGCCCTGGAATGTATCGCACGCCCCAAATGTACTGCAACCCCACAAATCTGTTGCACCGAATCTAGAGCGCGTTTCTGTTCGGCGATGGCGGGCGTCATGGGGGGGGGAGGGCATCACGTAACGCCGTGCGGCTCCGCCGCGCGCTAAGTATAGCACCACCCCCGCGTCGCTGGACAGCCCGAACTGTGCTGCAAGATGCCCTGCCTGACACAAGGTCAGGCTGTTCTCCGGGGGGGGGGCAGGGGGGCAGACGGGCCCGATCGCACGCCGGACCCTTGCCAAAAACCACTCTCCTGGATGACACGCGGGGGGCGCGCACGCCGCTGCCGAAGGGGGCGGCCCGAAGGAAGACTCCGAGCCAGGAGCCGGAGGCAGGCAGGGGCGAGGAGGAAGAGGAGTAGGAGGAGGAGGGGCGGGAGGAGGGCAAGAAGGGGGAGGAGGCGGTGAAGGAGGAGGACGACAGGGAGGAGGAGGGGGAGGAGGAGGAGGGGGAGGAGGAGGCGAAGGGGGAGGAGGGGGAGGAGGGCGAGGAGGGCGAGGAGGAAGAGGAGGAGGAGGAGGACGAGGACGAGGAGAAGGACGAGGACGCGGAGGAGGAGGAGGAGGAGGACGACGACGATGACGCGGCCGCGCGGCCAGGAGCGGACGGGGCCCCCAGCCCCTTAGCCCCTCCAGGGCGCCCACGTGCACCCTGGCGCCACTCACGAGCCCAGGGCAGGGGCACGCGGTCGCGTTTCGGCTACACGCAAGAGCGACCCTGGGCTCCTGGATGCCATGACAATGTGCTTGAAATGCCTGACAAGTGTTCAAGAAAACTTTGAAATACGTTTTTCAATGTGTAAGACATGTTTCAATACTTTCTTTGACATCTGGGAGTTATTTGGCAACATGCCTCCTCTCCATTGATCGTCGTCCACAACCCTAGGCAGGAGTGACCTTTGGTGCGCGACTCTCTGGGGCCGCGGAGAGGCCAAACCCGAGCGCGCAAGACGCTGCTATCGCATCGCGTTCCGTCATCTGGGGACCCCAGACCCCGGCGTGCCCGCACCGGAGGTCACGCCGGCGAAGGGTCCCCTTACGTGCAGCCGAGGCTTTGGGAGCCCCGAGCCAAACAGTGTTGACATCTCGCGGGGGCGTTTAAAACAGGGCTAGGATCGGGATGAATCGCTCCAGAGCGTTCCGGAGCGCTCTCAGAGCGTTCCGGAACGCTCTGGAGCGGCCGCGGCGCCCAATGCATCCTCCAAACCCGCCGATTCTCACAGATTTCGAGTTATCCCGATCCGATTTTGTCCCGATCTTCGTGTCGTTTTAGCGTTCGCCGGCGGAGCCCGCCCCCCGTCTTGCTTCCGCCGCCTCCAGCAGGCCTCCCGCCGGCCTTCCGCCGGCCTTCCGCCGAGGAAGAGATGGCGACTCCTCGACTCCTCGAAGGCGAGGCCCTGTCTGGAACGCCGCACGCGTGCAGAAGCGCATGCGAGGCCTGGGCACGTCGACGAGGGGCAAACATCCAAGCGGGCCGCCCTTGCAGCGGGTAGCTGCCCGGGGTCGCTTGCCCGAGCTGCTCTCCCGTCTCCCCCGGTGCCCCATCTTCGGGGGGCCCCTCCTCGTCGTCCTCGTCCTCCTCGTCCTCCTCCTCGTCCTCCTCCTCGTCCTCTTCTTCCTCCTCCTCCTCCTCCTCCTCCTCCTCGTCCTCCTCGTCGTCCTCCTCGTCCTCCTCGTCGTCCTCCCCCTCCTCCTCCTCCTCCTCCTCTTGGCCCTCCTCCTCCCCCTCCTCCTCCTCCTCCTCCTCCTCCTCCCCCTCCTCCTCCTCCTACGGCGCGATCGTGTCTCGGTATTGCTCCTCGTAACGTTCAGTGCGCAGCAGGGCCTGGCAGAGCCACTTGCAGCCTCCTGCAGGCTCCCAGGAGGCGCAGGCTGGCCGCTCTGCTCAGCCACTGTCCCACAGCGGCCCCCACGAAGCCCCCTCAACGTCCCCAAGGGGCCCCTGCAGAGCACCAGAAGATTCTGGTGGGCTGCCTCCTCCTGGGGTGGCACAGTGCGCCCGCACGGACAACTGGGCATCGCACTCGGTGCCGCCGGCCCGGGGCGCTCGATAGACCCTAAACCGAGACCTCGAGACCCCGCCGGCCGACGCACCAGACCAACCGGGGAGGGAGGGCGGGGAAGCAGGCGACGCCCGCGAAGAGCCCTCGGCCCGCAGCCGAGGCGTCGTCGTACCAAGCGCCCTCCCGGGGCACCCAATCGTCGGGTCCCTTCGGCCCCACGCGGAAGCCAACGGCCACGCACCGTTTTGTCAGGCCCTCGGGCCGCCAGGGAGGGGCAACTACCCCCTCGGGGAGGGGGGCGAGTGCCGACACTTGATATCCCGCCTCGGACACGGGCGGAGAGCAAAGCGGCCGAAGCGACGAATCTTCGAATCCAGCCATGGCGACGAGAACGCACCCTGCCCAGAATCTTCCTCCCCGGAACCATGGTCAGGGACGATCAAGAAAACCGAAGAGGCTCCCGAAATGCCATAGACATAAGCCAAAAACGGGGCCCACAAGACCATAGAAGAGGACCCTAATACGGCCGAGGCTGCTCCCAAGACGCACCCAATAGCTTCGAAAAAATCCCTGAGAGGCCCCAAGAACGGCGCCACAAAACATATTCATGGCACAACATCGCTCTCTCTCTCTCTCATGCTCCGCCCAGTGCCCCTTGTTCTCCTCCTACTTGGTAGTTTCTCTCCTCCTCCTCCTCCTCCTCCTCCTACACCTCAGTCCTTCTCATCCTCCACCTGACCAGACTCGACCAACCTAGACCACGCAAGACATATCAGACTAGACCAGACAGGACCACGGCCAGGCCAGGCAAGAAACGACTAGAGGCAACTGCGCAGGAGGGAGCTACAAATAATTAGCAACTTCCTCATCCCTTCCTTTCCCTTATAAGTAACTTATCTCTGTCGCACCCCGAGGCCAGTCGAAAGGGCGGGCTGGGCGTTTCGCCTGAGACTTCCTCTCCATGTATGACCTTGAAGCTTAGACATTGGCAGCAGTTTCCAAGATGGAGGGCGGGTGGCTTTCAAAATGTGGCTTGCGCCTTAGCGCCGCGCACATCCGTTGTAAGCATTTGCACGAGCTTCACGGATCGAGAGCGGTTCCTTTTCAAAATGTGGCTCTCGCTCCGGCGCCGCGCACAGTTCCTTTTTTTAAAATATAGCAAAAGTTCCACGGATTCTCATTGTCAGCGTATCAGAAATAGTGCTTTGGGCAGATTCAGGCTTATGAGGGCGCAACAGTTACGTTGATTCGCGGTGATGAAGTCCCAGGGATGGCGTTTTGGAACCCAACAGTCAGATTGATCCGTGGCGTTGAACTCCCGAGAAAAATGTTTTGGCATTCTGCGAGGTCTTCAAACGGTTGTCTTCCAACGAGGCAGATCCCTCAGTAGACACGAATCCTTGTAGGGGCCTGTGAAGAGGGAGCTTGGAGGAAGGGTCTATTCCAACATCTTTGATGACTCTTGGGTTTACAATGGTCCCCCTCCTCCTCCTCTGCCTCCTCTTCCATTCAGTCTCCTCGAAAATAACTCCTCCCTCTTGCACCACGAAGCCAGTCTTTAGGGCGGGCCGGGCGTTTCGCCTGAGATTTCCTCACCATTTATGACTCTGAAGCCTAAAATAATGACAACGGCTTCACAAATGGAGGGCGGGTGGTTTTCAAACTGTGGCTCTCGACTTAGCGCCGCGCACATTCGCTCTAAAAAGTTGCAAAGAGTTTCACGGTTGAGGGCGGGTCGTTTGCAAAATGTGGCTCTCGCCTTAGCGCCGCGCACATTTTTCTGTTTACAAAAAAGTGCGACAGCTTCACGGATTGAGGGCGGGTCGTTGTCAAAATGCGGCTCTCGCCTTAGCGCCGCGAACAATCATTGAACATGTGCAAGAGCTTCACGGATTGAGGGCGGGCCGTTTTCAACATGTGGCTCTCGGCTTAACGCCGCGCGCATTTGTTTGAAACACTTACAAGGGCTTCACAGATTGAGGGCGGGTCGGGTCGTTTTCAAAATGTGGCTCTCGCCGTAGCGCCGCGCACATTCGTATTACAAAATTTGCAAGCGCTTCTCGGATTGAGGGCGGGTTGTTGTCAAAATGTGGCTCTCGCCGTAGCGCCGCGCACATTCGTTGTAAACATCTGCAAGAGCTTCACGGATTGAGGGCGGGTCGTTTTCGAAATGTGGCTCTCGCCTCAGCGCCGCGAACATTCGTTTTAGACATTTGCCAGAACTTCACAGGTTGAGGGCGGTTCCTTTTCAAAGTGTGGCTCTCGCTTTGCCGCCGCGCACATTCGTTTGAAACACTTACAAGGGCTTCACGGATTGAGGTCGGGCCGCTTTCAAAATGTGGCTCTCGCCGTAGCGCCGCGCACATTCGTTTTACAAAATTTGCAAGCGCTTCTCGGATTGAGGGCGGGTTGTTGTCAAAATCTGGCTCTCGCCGTAGCGCCGCGCACATTCGTATTCAACATTTGCAAGAGCTTTGAGGGTGGGCCATTTTCAAAGTGTGGCTCTCGCCTTAGAGCCGCGCACATTCGTTTTCAAATTTGCAAGAGTCTCACGGGTTCCCATGATCAACGTACCAGGAATTGTGTTTTGGAGTGACTCAGGATTATGTGGGTGCAACCGTTATGTTGATTCGCGGTGTTGACGTTCCAAAAACGGCGCTTTGGCACGATTCAGGATCGTCAAAACGCGTGGCGTTGAAATCCCGAGAACAACGTTTGGGCATGCTTCAGGATCTTCAAACGGTTGTCTTCCAACAAGGCAGTTCCCTCAATGGAAATGAATCATTGTGGGGGGCCTATGAAGAGGGAGCTTGGAGGGAGGGTTAATTCCAACATCGTTGTTGACTCTTGGTTTTACACTGGTCCTCCTCCTCCTCCTACTCCATCTTCTTGTCCTGCTCCTCCTCATCATCCTGCTATCCCTCCCCCCTGCTCCCGTTACTCCTCGCCTACCTCGTCCATCTCGGTTAATCTCCCCTTGGTCCTCCTCACCTTCATCCTCACATCCTATTCCTCCTCCTCCTCTTCCTCCCCCTCCTCATCCACATCCTCATCCTCATCCTCCCTCCTCGTACCTCCTGCCTCCCTCCCCCCTCCTTATGTCTCCACCCTCCATCCTCATAATTTTTTATCCCTTCCCCTCCCCCTCGTTCGAGCTTCGAGCTGCGGACGGTGTCGAGGGTCACCTCCTCCTTTGCTGTGGACAAAGTTAGGCTGAAAGCTGGAGCGCTCCTCCTCCTCCTCCTCCTCCTCCTCCTCCCTCCCTCCACACTCCTCCTCCTTCTCGACTCCTCGCCTCCTCCTCCTCCTCTCCTCTCCCTCCTCCTCTCCTCCTTCCTGCTCCTGCTCCTCCTCCTCCTCCTCCTCCTCCTCCTCCTCCTCCTCCTCCTGAGAAAAGTCCTCCCAGCTCGTCGCGAATCGCTCACGCCAGGACCGAATGAGGACGACGGCCCCGATCCGACCGCACGGGGCCCCGGGGAAATCGCTAAGGCGTCTATCCTACAGGGGAGCGACTCGGATCCCCGAACGAGGCGGTGGGGACATTGCGAAGCGCAGCGGATGTCTTGTCCGAGGACCCCGAGACATACCGACCGTCCCGCCCTCTGGCTGCACTGGCTCGAGCGTCCCTCCATCTCCCCGTCGCCGGCTCCCGAGCATCGATAAGGCTACCCAGGTGAGGCCCGGCATCAGCTTCGGCCAGATGTCATCGGTCTCGCCCTGGGCGCTGATGGTTATAGTGAAGATGATGGCTATGTTACCCAGCGTGCCAGCCCTGGGCTGATCCCAATGCTTCCACGTCTGGCCGCCCAGCCGGCGACTTTTGATCGAACGGCGTCGGCGGTTCCGATTCACACACGTGCGCTGACGCTGGGCAACTGCAATCACTGTGCTGCGAAAGGAACAAAGGGTTCTTTCTAGCCGCGGCGAGCATCGGCCGCCAATAGGCTCCCCAACCCAAATCTCAGGAAGGGCCCAAAAACCAGAGCCCCTCCTGAACCCAAAATTATCCAAACAGTGCTTGCACTTGGGGGTTTCTTACTTGCCATCTCGGGACCAGGGGCAGCTTTTGCGGGCGGTGCCACCCGTCGCCGTCCGTGCCGCCCGTCGCCGCCATCACCGCCGCCGTCGCAGCATGGTCGTTGCCGCCGTCGCCGCCGCGCACAACATAGCTTGCCCAACATAAACAGATAGATGGATGTATAAAAAAGTGGATGTAGTAATGATAGTAATAGCAGCAGCAGCAGTAGTAGTAGTAGTCGTAGTAGTAGTAGTAGTAGTAGTAGTAGTAGTAGCAGTAGTAGTAGTAGTAGTAGTAGTAGTAGTAGTAGTAGTAGTAGTAGTAGTAGTAGTAGTAGTAGTAGTAGTAGTAGTTGTTGTAGTAGTAGTAATAGTAGTAGTAGTAGTAGTAATAGTGGTAGTAGCGGTGGTAGTAATAGTTGTAGTAGTAGTAGTAGTTGTTGTAGTAGTGGTGGTAGTAGTAGTAGTAGTAGTGGTGGTGGTAGTAGTAGTAGTAGTGATAAGAGTAGTACTGGTCGTAGTAGTAGTAGTAGTAATAGTAATAATAATAGAAAGAGTGGTGGTATCACTAGTAGCCGTAATACAAGAACTGGTAGTAGCAGTAGTAATAATAGTAGTAGTAAGAATAGTATTAGTAGCAGTGATAGTAGTAGTAGTAGTCGTAGTAGTAATAGTAGTAGTAGTAGTAGTAGTAGTAGTAGCAGTCGTATTAGTAGTAGTGATAGTAGTAGTAGTAGTAGTAGTAGTAGTAGTAGTAGTAGTAGTAGTAAGAGTAGTAGTATTAGTCGTAGTCGTGGTAGTAGTAATAGTAGTAGTAGGAGTGGTAGTGTAAGTAAAAGTAACAGTAGTCGTAGCCGTCGTAGCACTAGTCGTAGTAGTCGTAGTAGTAGAAGTAGTAGTAGTAGTAGTAGTAGTAGTAGTAGTAAAAGTAATAGTAGTAATATTAGTCGTACAAGTACTAGTAGTAAGGGTAAATATCGTCGTAGTAATCGTTGTAGCAGTAATAGACGTAAAACGTAGAAGTAGTAGTAGTAGTAGTCGTAATAGTAGTAAGAGTACTGGTGGTACTCGTATTAGTAGTAGTAACAGTCATCGCAAAAATACCAGTAGTGGTAGCAGTAGAAAAACTGAGAATAATAGTCGTTGCAGCAGTTGCAGTGCGGGTAGGAGTAGGAATGGCAGTAGTAGGAGGAGTAGTAATACTAGTAGAAGAAGTAGTACTAGTAGTAGTACTACTACTAGTAGTAGTAGCAGCAGCAGCAGCAGCAGCAGTAGTAGTAGTAGTAGTAGTAGTAGTAGTAGTAGTAGTAGTAATAATAGTAGTAGTCGTAGTAGTCGTAGTAGTCGTAGTAGTCGTAGTAGTAGTAAGTAGTAGTATAGTAGTAGTAGTAGTAGTAGTAGTAGTGGTTGGTGTGGTGGTGGTGGTGGTGGTGGTGGTGTGGTGGTGGTGTAGTAGTAGTAGTAGTAGTAGCAGTAGTAGTAGTAGTAGCAGCAGTAGTAGTAGTAGTAGTAGTAGTAGTACTAGTAGTAGTAGTAGTAGTGGTAGTAGTCGTAGTAGTAGTAGTAGTAGTAGTAGTAGTAGTAATAGTAGTAGTCGTAGTAGTAGTAGCAATACTACAAAAAAGTGTGGCCTTAGTAATAATAGCAGCAGTAGCAGTAGCAATAGCAGTGGCAATAGCAGTAGTAGTAGTAGTAGTAGTAGTAGTAGGAGTACGAGTAATAGTACTGATAACAGTAAAAGTAGTAGTAGTAGCACTCGTAATAGGAGTACGAGTAGTGGTAGCAGGAGTAGTAATAGTACTCGTACTAGTAGTAGTAGTAGCATCAGGAGGAATAGTAGTAGTAGTAGTAGTAGTAGTAGTAGTAGTAGTAGTAGTAGTAGTAGTACTGGCAACAACATTGGGTGGTGAAAATCGTAGTAGTCGTGTAGTAGTAATACCAGCTGTAGTAGCAACAGTAGCGGTAGTAGCAACAGCCGTAGCGGCAGTATGGATAAAAGCAGATCGCCTGACTACTGCTACTACGACTATCACTTTTACCAGTGGCACCACTACTACTTCTACGACTACGACAACGACTACGACTACGACTACTACGACTATGACTACGACGACTACTACTACTACTACTACTCCTACTACTACTACTACTACTACTACTACTACGACTACGACTACTACTACTACGGCTACGACTACTACTACTACTACTACTACGACTACTACTACTAATACTACTACTACTTCTACTACTACGACTACTACTACGACTACTACTGATACTACCAGTGCTGCTACTACAACAACAGCTACGACTACCACCACTACTACTACCACTACTACTATTATTACTACTACTACTACTACTACTACTACTACTACTACTACTACTACTACTACGATTACTACTACTACGGCTACGAGTACGAATAACAACAATAGCACTAGCACTACTACGACAAATACGACTACATTCTACCACTATTACTACTAATACTACTACTACCACCACTACTACTACTACTACTACTACTACTACTACTACTACTACCACCACCACTACTACTACTACTATTACTACTACTGCTACTACTACTACTACTACTACTACTACTACTACTACTACTACTACTACTACTATTACTACTACTACTACTACTACTACTACTACTACTACTATTCGTTTCTGCTGCTGCTGCTGCTACTACTACTACTACTACTACTACTACTACTACCAGTATCCGTCGCAATAGCAGCAATAATAACAAACTGCAAGAGAGGACAAGGAGGACCAAGAAGAGAAGGACAGGACAGGGCAGGACCTCTGCATGAGAGCGTATACCGTATGCGTAATTCCCCTGACAAGGACCCGACAGCACTTCGACATCTGATCGAAGGAACTGCAAAGGCCTGCGCAGAGGCGCGCACGCTGCCCTCCTCGCCCCAAGCCCTCACCTCCCCCCCTCCTCCACCACAGGCGAGCGCGCGGCCCGTTCGCAGGTGGCCCTGCGCTACCACTCAGTAGCTCCCCGAGCAAAACAAGGGGGGCAGCGCCGCTGGCGCTGCGTCGCCAATAGCGCGCGCGAGCGGGCCTGCACAAGAAAGAGGGTTCCCTGAACCCCTTTTGAATTCGCGAACTAAAATCTCTGTATCCCACGGAGAAGAGGACCGAGGAAGAGAAGAGAGGGGGGCGCCGTGCACTCCGTGAGGCCCTCTCCAGTGCGGTCGGCGCTCCCTGCGCCAAGTCAAATGCTTTCCCCCGCGCCAAGAGCGCTCAGAAATGCACGGCCCCTGCTCTTGTTGACTCCATCTCGCGCCGGCTCGCCTGTCACTTCGGCATGTCTGTCGTCCTCTGCAATGTCACACTCAATAACTCAGGAAATCTTGGAAGACATGCGGCGCATGCTGAAGATTCGCGCGACATCTCGGCCCAAAGAAATAAGTGACAGCGCGTGCGTACGCGTATCCAACCTAGACGTGCAAAGAGGCCTGCGCCTTCATCTTCGCGTGGCGGCAGTTGCGTACTTGTCCCCCAACCTGGCAAAAACTCCAATGCTTTCCCATTCCGCAAAAGCGCATCCCACTTCTGGTAAGGTATGGATTGCGCCGCTGTTGGCCAAGTGGTGCCGCAATTCATCCGCAGAAGAAAAACTGCCAATATTGTTCCACATGCTGTCAAAGTTCGTCAAAAGTTCGCCCATCGCGCTAACGCGTCCGCTTTTCGATGACGAACCCTTCAACAGCTGCGTCTTTAACCGCTACGAGGTCAGAGGGAACCCCCGTTGGGAAATTGCGCCGGCCCCTCGCCTCAAACTTCTAGTTCCTTCTCCACATCCCCCGCGCCTGCACAATCCGTCTGCGAAGCAAAAAACTCGGATGCTCCAGTGAATTCTCCGATGGGCACACCCCCTTTTCCGTGCACGACGTTTGCAAGACGCCCTTGGTGACTCATTCGCGGGTCGCTGCAAAACCGAAAAACCCCAGAAGCGCTGCGATCTCAGGGCCCATCATTGAGCATGGGTGTTCGAAGTTCGCCCTCGGCACCAGTCGGTCGCCTCGGAACTTCGGGGCCTCCGCCATCCCAGACCCCCCTCGCTCTCTGGCGAACAGACGAGTCGATCTCTGGGGACAACATTTCCGAATAATTGGGGCGGCCCCCCTCTGTCCAAAACTTCGTCTCGTCCGCGTCGCCGCGGGAATCCATGGGTTTTCGAGGCTCATCCAACTTCATCCCCCGGCGACCAAATGAGTGCAAAGCAGGGCCGATCGGGTTCCATTGATCCATGTGCGATTCGATCTCACGGGACAACATTTCCACGTACTTTGGTTCGGGCATGGGTTTTCGAAGTTCTTCGTCGGCACTCGCCAGCTGCCCCCGAACCTCGGGGCCCCCAACTCCTCTCGGGCTTGCGTCGTCCAACTTTGCTCGCCGGCGTACATGCGAACGCGAAGCAAGGCCAATCAAATCCCATTTGCGCGGCTGTTCTTCTATTTCGCGGAACAGCTGCGTCAAACGATTGGATTCGCTTGAGGCTGCTCCTGGGCCCGAGCGGGGGCCGGTGCTGATGGGGGGCCGCGGAAGCTCTGCAAACTCTGAATGGGGGGCCGCGGAAGCTCTGCAAACTCCCCCGGCAACTCTTCCCCCTTGGTCCCCGCGGGATGCAGGGGGAAGGGGGAGCCGAGCAAGCTCTGCAAACTGCCCCGCTGCCGTTTGCCCGCCCCTCTCGCCGTCGCGGTTGTCCACCACGATGTCGGCGCCCATTTGCGCGCCCTGAATCGGCGGCTCCTGTGTTCTGTCTCTCTCTTTCTGCCGAAGTTGTCCATCAAGCAGAGGGTCCTGGGGCGTGTGCAACCAACTGTTCAAATATTGTAATCCTGGCAAGCTGGCATTTCCGGGCATGGGTACGGCGGATCCGTTTTCTGCGTATTTGGCTCGTCGTTGTTTTTTCAAGGTCGCACTCCAATCTTCCATCGAACGTTGGAAAGGCGCAGCACAACAAATGCATATTACCGGATCACGACCGAATCACTTTAGAAAGGATCGCGAAGAAGTGCAGTATCGGAAAAGCTGCAGGGATTGTTACGTTTTGTTACCTATTCCTCCTTCTCCGTCCCTGGCCCCGGCAAAACAACCTGCGTGGTTGTCAGAATCCGTAAGCCGTGTGAGGGTTGAGTGAAAATCTTCCCTCCGTCGGGGCCCAATTTGCCTGAATTCCAACGCACTAGGATGAGGAGGAAGACGACGAGGAGGAGGAAGACGAGGAGGGTAGTAGTAGGACGGACAAAGACCAGCGATATGTGTATGTGTCTAAATCTATATTATATATATTATAAATACACATATGAATGAATAGATAACCCAAGCAGTGTTTGCACTAAAGGGGCGTTACTTTGCTTAACCATCTCGAGGTGACTGGCGGCGTTTGCGGGTGGTCGCCGCCGTCGCCGTCGCCGTCGCCGTCGCCGCCGCTCGGGGCGAGTGGCGGGCTTTTGCGGGCGGTGCCGCCCGCCGCCGCCGTCGCCGTCGCCGTCGCCGCCGCTCGGGGCGAGTGGCGGCTTTTGCGGGCGGTGCCGCCCGTCGCTGCCGTCGCCGTCGCATAGATTGCACCACATCGATTGCACCACGTAGATTCTCGTTTAAAAAAATACGTTCTACCACCCTCCCCCCCTGGACTCACCGGGAACCGATGTAAAACACCACGGATTCTGACCAAATGTTCATCCTACCTGTGAATTCATACTATCCTAACCAACCCAGTAGACCCGGAGGGTCGATTCAGGCCGAGGAGGGGGTCCCCCCTCGGTTCCCTTGCAAAAAAATACCATGCGCGCGCACACGCTTATCAAAACTCATAAGTTTTCAAGAACCCCTCGCAACAAATGGGACGAAGTGCGAACGGGTTTCGCGCGCGCGTGTCGAAATCGTTCGACCGCCCTTGCGCGCGTGCTGGGGTGGTACGATCCGTGTCCAATAATGCCATGCGAGCCACTCTCGCGCGTCTGCCGCTCGCGAATTCGAATTCCTTCCAAAACCTTCATCACCGACGCGAAGACGCCGTCAGCGTCGTCGGCGTGATCGACATCGGCGCCGTCATCGCCACTATCATCATCATCGTCTCTACAACTGTCGTCACCAACATCGCCACTATCATCGTCATCGTGTCTACAAGCGTCGACGTCGACATGATATCGCACTCGCCCATGCCGCCGACTCGCACTCAAGTGCCCGCTGGGATGTGCCGAGCGGTCAGCACCACCGCGGCCTCGTCGGTCGCGCCAAACTACCTGGCCATCACAGGCGCCACGGGAAAGGGCCGCGTCGCTCCCGAGCGAGGCCTCGGCTGCTGCGGACAGAGTTGGTCACCAGCACGGGCGCCGACTCGTCGGTTAGGGGTGCCCGATGCTGAGAGGAGGTCCGAGCCTACGGCGAGGTTCGGTGGAGCTTCCGCGGCATGCAGTCCCTCCGTGGTTGTTCCGCCCCGCGCACGATGCGAGTATCATCATCACCATCATCATCATCATCATCATCATCAGCATCATCATCACCATCACCATCACCATCACCATCACCATCACCATCACCATCACCATCACCATCATCATCATCATCATCATCATCATCATCATCATCATCATCATCATCATCATCATCATCATCATCATCATCATCGACAGCATCATCATCGTTATCATCATCACCATCATACTCATCATTATGAGCATTGGCATCATCAGCAGCAGCAGACGCAGCAGCATCACAAGCATATGCATCCTAATTATCATCAGCAGCATCAGCATCATCATCGTCATCAGCATCATCATCATCATCATCATCAACATCATCATCTTCATCAACACCGCAACCATCATCGTCATCATCAGCAGCATAATCGTCATCTTCGCCATCCGCATCATCGTCATAATCCTCGTCAACATCCGAAGCATCACCATCGTCATCCTCATCATCGTCATCATCATCGTCATTATACTCAGCTTCAGCATCATCATCATCGTCAGAATCAGCACCATCATCATCATCATCATCATCATCATCACCAGAACCACCACCATCACCATCATCATCAGACTCCTCATCATCATGAGCATCATCATTATAATCATCATCATCAACATCTTCATCATCGTAATCACCATCACCATCACCATCAACATCATAGTCATCATGATCATCATCACCAGCATCATCACTAGCATCACCAGCATCATCATCGTCATCCTCATCATCCTCGCACTCATCATTATCATTATCATCCTCGTCATCACCATCATCATCACCATCCTCATCATCATCATCACCAGCATCATCATCATCATCATCATCATCGTTATCGTCATCATTATCAGCATCATCCTCATCAACGCATCATCACCATCATCACAATCAGCAACAACATAATCAACAACATCGGCATCGGCACCAACATCGTCGTCACCATCCTCACCATCGGCATGATTCACATCATCATCATCACCAGCATCAACAACAGCAGCAGTACAAGAAGCATCATCCTCATCATTATCAGCATCAGCATTATCATCATCATCAGCATCATGTTCAGCATCAACATCATAAGCATCAGCATTATCATCATAGTCATCATCATCATCAGCACTGCAACCATCATCGCCATCATCAGCAGCAGCATCGTCATCATCGTAATCCTGATCATCGTCAAAATCGTCGTCACAATCCGACGCATCAGCATCGTCATCCTCATCCTCATGACCATTATCCTCAGCATCAGCACCATTATCATCATGAGCATCATCATCATCATTATCATCATCAGCAGCAGCATCCCCACCAGCATCGCCCACATCGCCATTATACTGATCATCGTCATCATCATCAGCAGCCGCAGCATCCTCATTA